ATCTTTAATTCTTGCTATTCTTACCTGTCTTCAATTCTGTTAAATCGGTCACGGTAGCCTAGTGGGTATAGGGTGCTCGCTTCGTGATCGAGAGGCCTTGGTTCGATTTTCGTTCGCCGTGCCGCGTAAAACCTAAGACGTTAACATAGGTAGACTCTTCCTTCCCCAAGTGCTAGGCGCGAGAAGTGAAAGTCGCGGGTCTTTTTGGATGAGACCTTAAAGCTATATGTGGCGTATCTGAGCTAAAATATAAAAATACGAGATTGAGTGTAGATAAACTAAACATGAAACATGTTATTTACGTTCAAATTAAAATTTTCACCGACTTTGAACTTGAATAACCTCATGTTTCCATAGTTAAATTGATTTAAAACTGTCTGTTAATTAAATGCGGAGTCGGTAAATAAATCGGTTATTGTTTTAAATTTCTAATATCTTTGAAACCTGATTGATTTAAATTGTGTAATTTACAGGAAAGTCCTATCTTTATATAAAGTAATAAAACAAATAGAAAGATCTTTTTAATTTTATAGTTAGTCTGAACTTATAAAAAAAAATACGCCATATATGACTTTAAAAATCGAGGTCCCGTGTCAGGGTAAACTTTGGTACGATAAAGAACCCTCACTGTTGAATGGCTCTGAGTGCCGAGTATAGATTTAAATTTGAAGCCCTTCACCGGCATATGGTGACGTCTCTATATGAGTGAAAAATTCTCGACTGGGATGTTTAACAACAAACAATCAATCTATCAATTATGTTATATTTTTATTCTCAAATCAATTTTACCTATCTCACAATGAATTAAAGATTTATTTAACTGAAATAAACCTATCTTCAATTCTTCAATTCATTTTGAGATAGGTACAATCGACTTGAAGATAGGTAAATTGTTTGAAAATAGATATAAATCAAATAATTGTTCCTCTCTTCAAATAACTGAACCTATCTCCAAATGAATTTAAGATTGGTATAATTGAAATTGTATATATTTGAAGATTCCTTTTCCGATCTCATGTCTTCTATTTCCAAATGTTCTGTCAAAAACTGTCAAACCTGTGATGTTTTGAGTACAAACTGTTCTTTTACTAGAAATTTTACTGGACAGAGCTTATATTATACCAAAACTTGGAAAATCTGAACTGCAAATCTAATGTTGTCTACGGAATAGAAATAGAATGTATCCTTTGTGGTCTTATTTATGTTGGTGAAACCCAGGGTTCACTTAATTAAAGAATATCGGGGCATATATTTCAAATAAACAACAAGGGCCAGCAGCTTCTATACAAGCACTTTAATTTACCTCCTATTTTGTAAATGAAAGTTAGAATTCTAGAAAAAAAAATTTACATCATATTAATAGCCCATCATTAAGTACTCAGACTTTTGACATCATAGACAGCTGCTATTTCAATAAAAATGGAAGTCGTACATTTACTTTCCTTGTCATTGGTCATTTACAAAAATTATTGTGTTAAAAAAACATGTTGATTGTACACACAAGTACTCCGAAATTGGTATTAAAAAGATGTTGAGTTTCTTTTTGACAATATCTATGTAGTTTTTAAAGATCAAGTCTTGAACAATCTGTCGGAATGCCCATAGGTACCAATTGCGCCCCTTTATTAGCAGACAAATGAGCCAGAATTTATTCAAAAACTTCTACTTGAAAAAAAAAAAAGAAAACCATTTGTTGTGCTCTTCAGCTTGACATTTAGATATATCGACAACGTTGTATCAATTAACAATACTTGATTCCACTCATATGTCGACACGGTATATCCCAGTGAACTTGAAAGAAAAGATACCACAGAGTCTGACACATCTGTTTCATATTTAGATATTTTACTAGAAAAAGGCGTAAATGGTAACCTAACAACAAAACTTTATGATAAACGTAATGACTTCAACTTTTCTATATTCAACTCTCCTTATTTATGTAGCAATATAATCTTATCACCTGCATATGAAGTTTATGTCTCCTAGTTGATTCGAATGCGCAAGAGTATACTTTACGTAGGAACAATTTCTTAAACGAGGCAAACTATTGAAAAACAAGTTGATGGAACAAGGATATCAAAAGTCTCTTTTGAAGTCGATATTTCGCAAGTTCTATGCATGATACAATGACCTTGTCAGCAAATACAATATATCATTAAGTCGAATGCTGACTGACGTTTTTCAAACCAATTGTTAGGCAATTATTTACACACTGAATTGTCTACGGATTCATTAATGAATTAGAGATCTCATAAATATTAGACAAACAGGGCACAGGGCAAACAGGGCAAATACACGAACCCCTGGAAATACCAGCGGTGAGTTCAGGTGTCTAGGAGGAGTAAGCATCCAAGCCGGTTACACCCGCCGTGAGCCGCCGTATTGATGGTTTATTCCCCGAACGTCTACTGGCTCAAACAACTATTTAATTATCACACTCAATTAAGAGGCCCTCTAAGGGGTCCAGGTAGAGTCTACCTGTGTTACCTTGATTGAACAAAGTAGTCAAAATCAAATAATTTAATACTTACTGATAAAATTGTGTACTAAAGCATAGATTTATTGATTAAATACTTGCTATAATTGAAGGCACTAAACAATTACCGTAAATATTTTTTCATGTACATGTAATAAATAATCTATAAATTATTTTCAATTAAGCATACCTTTTTTTTCACTTAACACTTGGCACTTAATTGAAGTATCACTTACACCACATTTTTTAAACATTTTAAGCTTTGTTTAATCTATATTAAATATGTAAATTTTCATTTAGATGTTGCCCCCTCTTACACTCTGTTGCTGTAAGGTCGAGCGCTGGCGAATATTCCAGCACTTAGAAAAAAAATCTACAAACAGAGAAAGTCAACCCCTCCCCACAAACGAACACACAAAATAGGATTTTCAAGATTTTTTTTTTAATTATTTAATAAATTTTACTTGTTAGATTTCTCTGGGGGGTTGCCCCTTCTCCCACTGTTTAAACCATTGCTACCTCTTTGTTTGGAAGCAATATCTAAAGTTAGGGGGGATGTAAAATTCAAAATGATTTTTTTTTTTCAAATATAATCGTATCTTACTCTTCTTGATAGATTTTTTACCAAAATAAATTACATGTATATTGTGATTGAGTTTTATGATACAAACTTACAAAGATTTTGAAATTATTTATTGATATAATATTTAAAATTAATGCTTTGAAATGGTGATTAAAACTAAATTAAATCAAAAGTATCTAAAGCAAAATTTATTTAAAATGACATATGATCGATAGATTTTTTCTGTTTAAGAAAGAATGCTACTTACATGTTCACGGAAATTTTATTTAACCGATCTTTAAGACATCTCCTCTAAAATATGGCTTAAGTATGGAAAGATCGATATTAGTTTAAATTAATTTTTATGAATTTTGAGGGCTTTTTTATGAGAAAATGAAAAGATTGTTTTAATTGCAAATAAGATCCTTTAGAGTTTAAAGTTTGTCCTAAATAAATGGATAATATAAATATTTAATCGAAAATGTCAAGAAAAATCAGATAAGGTTTTTTTTTTAATTTTTGCTAAAAAATTATTTATGAAAATAAAACACATTATTTTTAGCATTTTTTAACTAATGCATAAAATCTTCAAGATTTTTACATTTCCCCCGAAAAAAAATCATGTTAAAACAATAAATATCTTTTATCAATATTTCCATGCTGAAACCATGTTTCAGAAGAGATGTCAAACATTATTGTTGCTGTAGAATTCCTCCTTCAATAAATACAGGTAAAGCTAGTTCATAAATGATTGTAGATCCTACCTGTACCCCTTACAGGGCCCCTTAATTGAGTGTGATAATTAGATGTTGGTTTAGTCCAGTAGACGTTCGGGGAACACACCGTATTGATCAGGTAGACGGAATACTCCGTAGTCAAATTTAGTAAAAGCAATGACCTAGCAGATGGTTTTTGATGCGCTATCGTCTATTGTCTGTAAATATGAAACAGATGTGGCAGACTTTGATCATGAGATTGATCTAATTATTTTAGTTTAGTTTTATTTTTGCCTCGCTTTTTTTCACTAGGACTTCATAAAAAAAAAAAAGACACGGTTTGCTTATTACACTTTTGTTTCATTTAATCATTGATTCATATAATAAAACAATTGAAGTTTTTTTTTTTCCAGTCAGTGCGATAATTTAGCCACCTTCGAAGTACAATATTCACCTCGTCCTTCGGGCTCGATGAATTTTGTATTCCTCAGGTGGCTAAATCATCGTATTGACCAAAAAAAAAAAAAAACAAAAAACAAAAAAACAAAAAGAACATTATAGGCCTAATTGTATAATAATATTTACGTCTCTGATTTTATAATTTTTCATTTATGGATCTATTCTAGAATTACAATTTTGATATTTTTTTTATTTGTCACGTGTACACTAGATTTTTCTCCATTTATACTGTATAAAATGATAAAATATTCATGTTATCAGGGACCTATATACTAACAAAAACCTATTATATGAACCTTTTTTTCATCTCTCGGCAAATAACATGTCTGTTTCTTTTCTCCTGCCATGATGAAGAACCAGAGCTCATTTTTGAAGACTGAAATATGGATCGAAGTACATGTATATATTTTTTTCTGGAAATATTTTAAACGTTTCATAAGATTTGAACTAAATAGGTTGCCCATCATCATGTTTGCGGCGTTTGAACACTAATGGATATAGATGTTTATTAAGTATCATTAAAACTGCAATGTTTAATCAGTAGGTTAGTATATATACGTCCCTGATGATTTTGTATGATATACAAAACAAATGGACAGTTATTAATACAAATGGAAACGAGCGAAGTTGACATATGCCATAGCAAAGATGCAGTAATAATCTGTAATCTGTATAACACAGGTACTTGTCAAAACACATTATTGCGATGCCCTCCGGATCAATGACGCAACGTTAACAGATTGTTTGCATTTTATAGTCACTTCCGGTTCACTTCCTGTTTGTGTGG